GCCACTTTCAGGTCTCTTCACACTGCTGGTGTGTTAAATTTTTTGACATAGGGTGCAGGCAGATTACGGGCCTCACATAGCTGCTGCCAGGCCCCTAATCTGCCATGGGCCCCTATATACCCGCCTCCTCATGCTGCTGCCAAGTCCAGAGTCTCTCATGGGTCCCTGTACGGCCTCCCATTGCTGCTGTCTCCATCGCCACACTCTGCTGCCATGTGCCACTTTCAGGTCTCTTCACACTGCTGGTGTGTTAAATTTTTTGACATAGGGTGCAGGCAGATTACGGGCCTCACATAGCTGCTGCCAGGCCCCCCTAATCTGCCATGGGCCCCTATATACCGCCTCCTCATGCTGCTGCCAAGTCCAGAGTCTCTCATGGGTCCCTGTACGGCCTCCCATTGCTGCTGTCTCCATCGCCACACTCTGCTGCCATGTGCCACTTTCAGGTCTCTTCACACTGCTGGTGTGTTTAATTTTTTGACATAGGGTGCAGGCAGATTACGGGCCTCACATAGCTGCTGCCAGGCCCCTAATCTGCCATGGGCCCCTATATACCGCCTCCTCATGCTGCTGCCAAGTCTAGAGTCTCTCATGGGTCCCTGTACGGCCTCCCATTGCTGCTGTCTCCATCGCCACACTCTGCTGCCATGTGCCACTTTCAGGTCTCTTCACACTGCTGGTGTGTTAAATTTTTTTGACATAGGGTGCAGGCAGATTACGGGCCTCACATAGCTGCTGCCAGGGCCCCTAATCTGCCATGGGCCCCTATATACCCCCGCCTCCTCATGCTGCTGCCAAGTCTAGAGTCTGTCATGGGTCCCTGTACGGCCTCCCATTGCTGCTGTCTCCATCGCCACACTCTGCTGCCATGTGCCACTTTCAGGTCTCTTCACACTGCTGGTGTGTTTAAATTTTTTGACATAGGGTGCAGGCAGATTACGGGCCTCACATAGCTGCTGCCAGGCCCCTAATCTGCCATGGGCCCCTATATACCGCCTCCTCATGCTGCTGCCAAGTCCAGAGTCTCTCATGGGTCCCTGTACGGCCTCCCATTGCTGCTGTCTCCATCGCCACACTCTGCTGCTGCCATGTGCCACTTTCAGGTCTCTTCACACTGCTGGTGTGTTAAAATTTTTTTGACATAGGGTGCTGGCAGATTACGGCCTCCCATTGCTGCTGCTGCCAGACATGTAATCTGCCATGGGCCCCCGTACCGACTCCTCATGCTGTGACGTTGCAACAAGGTGTAATTCAACCCTACATATGTTAGACCGCCTTTACGAACAGCTAAAGGCCATCACAGATTTCCTGATGTTAAAAGCGGATAAAGGTACTCCCTGTGTAACTTAGATGTCAGCCATTGTCAGCTCATGTGTGACACCTGCGCTTGCTCAGGCCCTTTGAGGAGGCCACGCTATTCGTGAGTCGGCAGGACTATGGGATGAATGAGGTCAAATCGGCCATGGGCCCCCGTACCGCCTGTTCACGCTGATGCTGGTCCCACAGTGTGACCTGGGTCCCTGTACGGCCTCCCATTGCTTCCACTCTGCCATGTGCCACTTTGAAATCTCCTCACACTCCTGCGGTTGTCCATTTTGTCATAGGTTGCTGGCAGATTACAGGCCTTCCATAGGTGCCACCAAGCCCATGTGATCGGCCATGGGCCCCCGTACCGCCTGGTCACGCTGCTGCTGGGCCCACAGTGTGACCTGGGTCCCTGTACCGCCTCCCATTGCTCCCACTCTGCCATGTGCCACTTTCAGGTCTCCTCACGCTCCTGCTGGTTTCCATTTTGTCATAGGTTGCTGTATGGCCTCCCATTGCTGCTGCCTCCACCGCCACACTGTGGCTCCAAACACTGGTTTTGGCCCCGTGACTGGCCAAAGGAGTGAAGTGTGCAGTGATTCTAAGATCGAATCAGTCGAATCGAATTTTTCATTTTTCTTCGCTCATCTCTACTGACAGTGCATAAAGACAGGAGAGCCGGTAAGCTGCATTTCTTAGGACTTCTACTTTGATCATCAGGGCACTGATCATCAGTGTAGCCCCATCAGTGCGGCCAAAAGTGCCCATCTGTTCTGGCTTTCAGTGCCTCCTTAATGATGCCCGTCAGTGCCGCCGAGCAGTGCCCATCAGTGCCGCCGAGCAGTGCCCATCAGTGCCGCCGAGCAGTGCCCATCAGTGCCGCCGAGCAGTGCCCATCAGTGCCGCCGAGCAGTGCCCATCAGTGCCGCCGAGCAGTGCCCATCAGTGCCTCCTCCTCCTCCGTGCCCATCAGCATATCCTCCTCCGTGCTCCTCAGTGCAGCCTCATCAGCGCACATCAGTTAAGGAGCAAAATCACTTATTTACAAAACTTTTTAACAGAAACTAAGAAAAAATTTTTTCAAACTTTTTGCTTTTTTTTTTTTTTTTTTTTTTGTTTTTTTTAAAAAAAAATATAAAAATTTCATACAGGTATAGTGTTGCATGACTGCGCAATTGTCATTCAAAGTGTGACAATGCTGCAAACTGAAAATTGGCCTGAGCAGGAAGGGGGTATAAGTGTCTGGTAGGCAAGTAGTTAATGTCTAAACCGCTGGCAACAAAAGTGAGTACACCCCTAAGTGAAAATGTCCTAATTGGGCTCAGACATTTTTCCTCCCTGATGTCATGTGACTCGTTAGTGTTACAAGGTCTCAGATGTGAATGGGGAGCAGGTTTGGTAAATTTGGTGTTATCGCTCTCACTCTCTCATACTGGTCACTGGAAGTTCAACATGGCACCTCATGGCAAAGAACTCTCTGAGGATCTGAAAAAATGAATTGTTGCTCTACATAAAGATGGCCTAGGCTATAAGAAGATTGCCAAGACCCTGAAACTGAGCTGCAGCACGGTGGCGAAGACCATACAGCGGTTTAACAGGACAGGTTCCACTCAGAACAGGCCTCGCCATGGTCGACCAAAGCAGTTGAGTGCACGTGCTCAGCGTCATATCCAGAGGTTGTCTTTGGGAAATAGATGTATGAGTGCTGCCAGCATTGCTGCAGAGGTTGAAGGGGGGGGTCAGCCTGTCAGTGCTCAGACCATACACTGCATCATATTGGTCAATATCATATTGAAAGCCCGCAAACAGTTTGCTGAAGACAAGCAGACTAAGGACATGGATTACTGGAACCATGTCCAGTGGTCTGATGACACCAAGATAAACTGATTTGGTTCAGATGGTGTCAAGCGTGTGTGGCGGCAACCAGGTGAGGAGTACAAAGACAAGTGTGTCTTGCCTACAGTCAAGCATGGTGGTGGGAGTGTCATGGTCTGGGGCTGCATGAGTCCTGCCAGCACTGGGGAGCTACAGTTCACTGAGGGAACCATGAATGCCAACATGTACTGTGACATACTGAAGCAAAGCATGATCCCCTCCCTTCTGAGACTGGGCTGCTGGGCAGTATTCCAACATAACGATCCCAAACGTACCTCCAAGGCAACCACTGCCTTGCTAAAGAAGCTGAGGGTAAAGGTGATGGACTGGCCAAGCATGTCTCCAGACCTAAACCCTGTTAAGCATTTGTGGAGCATCCTCAAACGGAAGGTGGAGGAGCGCAAGGTCTCTAACATCCACCAGCTCCATGATATCGTCATGGAGCAGTGGAAGAGGACTCCAGTGGCAACCTGTGAAGCTCTGGTGAACTCCACACCCAAGAGGGTTAAGGCAGTGCTGAAAAATAATGGTGGCCACACAAAATATTGACACTTTGGGCCCAATTTGAACATTTTCACTTAGGGGTGGACTCACTTTTGTTGCCAGCGGTTTAGACATTAATGGCTGTGTGTTGAGTTATTTTGAGGGGACAGCAAATTTAAATTGTAGCAAAGTGTCATTTCTTTAGTGTTGTCACAGTTTTGGGCACCAATTCACAAAAAGAACAGTGGAGAACTGAAGAACATACAGAGAAGGGCAACCAAACTGATACGAGGCATGGAGGAGATCAGCTATAAGGAAAGAATAGAGTGTAGCAATTGTGCACACAGAGATGGACGCGGTCATCCATTTTGCTCCAAACCCCTCCATCTTGTATCTCTCTCTCCCAAATCAGATTCCTCTGATTACCCCCCCCCCTGTTGAGTGACATGTGGTCTGCTTGATGACAGAAATCACAGGCAGCAAACTCATTGGAAGGGCGTCATGGCTATAAACCTCACTAGCTGATGCCCCTATGTCTGCGAGACTCTTGCTGGAGAAGGGATCGTAAAACCATAAACCAAGCCCTCACAGAGCTTCAAAGACATTCCAGGTAGTCGTAAAAACAGACACATTTAAAAACTCACTTTTCCATATAATTTTATATCTTCAAATAGGACATAATTACATAAACATGGAGCACATATACAGGAGAGAAGAAAATTATATCTCCTTAAACCATCCAAGCAGGTATGTCATATTTCATATCTAGCCGTTCAGCAGATGCGTCTGCATATTACTCTACTAGTGGCCAGGCTGCTAAATGCACCGAGAATAAGTTATGAACCATAACATCAACTGGGAGAGTTTTTGGTTCTAGCTTGGGTATCCGCCACAACACCCCTCCCCAAATGAGGAGATTGGTTCTCTGCTTTAAGGAGACACCCTGCTGAGTTCCTAGAAAAAAGCTGAGCTAAGCTGAGTTGTGCAAAGTTGAAGAGTCTCCCTTTTAACATCGGAACTAACTTTGGGAGATAAGGCATCCTTTTGGCTCTGAAACCTGATCTGCTTAACCCAAGGCTGACAGCAAGTACTTTATCCCTCTAAACTTCTTTCTGTTATGTCTTTGCTGTGCTATTGTTTTCTGTATATTTATTATATATATATATATATATATATATATATATATATATATATAGGCTACATCTTTTTCTGTAAATATTTTTATTGCACCCTTTTGACCTTTTCGTGATAAATCTTACTTTCTGAAAGTATTGAACTGTTTCTAAAGCTCTTTAACCTCCCTAGCGGTATTCCCGAGTGTAGCTCGGGGTAAAGTTTCAGTACCAAAAGCGGTAACCCCGAGCTACACTCGGGCTTACCATGCAGCGTTGCATAGGGAGTCCCTGCAGCGCTTACCTTGTCCTTCGCTCCCGCGATGTGTCCCCTGCAGCGTCCCCAGCCATCTCCTCCGGCTGATGCCGGCATCCGGCTTCCGTGTTCTGGTCCCTGTGACGTCGGGACGTACGGGCGCCGGAACCGGTGGCAAATTTGAAATTTAAAAAAAAAATTTGTCATTTTTTTATTATTACATAGTAAAACATTGCTGTTTCAAAACATTTCACATACATTTTGTCTACTGCTTTGTCCTGTCCCCTGCCTGCATTTTGACTGTTCTTTTTGCCTGGAAACTTCCATGGTGTCCAAAAAGCGTCCCTTTAGGTCAAAAGCGGTTTTAGACCAGCTAGAGAACAGCGATAGTAAATCAGAACCACTTGCAGAGTTGAGTGATAATGATTCGTGGGGAAATTCGTCATCAGACACTGAAAACGATTCTGCGACTTTGCTCAGCGATGTGCGAACTTGGCGCTATATTTCAAATTTCAATGTTTTTGGTTTGATTATATTAATTAATTACATTTATTATATCTTTTATGATTATTTAATAAATTATAATTTATGATTTTGTGTTTCAAGTTTTATCATATCCGGAATGTTTACTAGACTCTTGTTCGGACAGATTTCAGTGAGTTATTCCTAAATTACAGGCCTACAATAAAAAAAAAAAATACATATTTCCATGCAAAAAAATGGTACCGCGCTTTCAGCATCAAAAATCTGAAATAATCCTACGGCAAGGGAGGTTAATGCAAACTAAGAATCCCTGCCTCTGAAGGGCGCTACTGTGTGTGTGTTTTAAACTCCGGTATATCTCTGCCTGCGGTGACAGTGGTATACCGACAATTATTCAAACATCATAGTGTTATTGCTGACATTGCCGAGTTTCCTCTTTTTCTCTGTACAAAAAGGAGGTGGTGGCAGTGTGAAGGGTTAATTGCGTAATTAACCTGACCCAGTAACAATCGCTCTCAGGCTGCAGGTACACAGGTTGTGGTCCATTAGCTGGGAAATCTGTGTGCAGGGTGCAGCGGGGCTTGGCATTGTTACGCACGTGACAGCGCGGTTTTAGATTGGCTAGTCCTTCGGCCACGAGTTTGGTGAGAAGGGCTGGGGTCTGACGCCGCCATCGTCACATAGAAGAACTGAATTTATTCTTTCTTAAGAAAAGGAGATTAAGGAGGGATATGATCACCATGTATAATACATAAGGAGGGATATGATTGTAACAGAACCGGACCTGGACTGCACTAGGGTATTTCCATTAGACTCCTACTTCCCTGTCCGAACACAGATCCATGGACACCACCGTTGACCATACGAGACTAGACGTGACCAGTCTTGAAATAAATCAGGAAATATACTGCTTTATTTTAACACAGACACAAGATATATATATTCAAGGGAACAATTCTCCCCTCCCTGCATAAGGACACAGGGCGGGGCAAACCAAATCTAGCAACAAGAAACACATCAGCAGACACCCCCCCCCCCCCCACCAAGCCAATACACAAACACATACATCCCATAATAGTTTGCTCCCAAGCAAGACACACAATAGAACAATGGGATGCAATCACATAACACCAAACGATCCACAACCTCCACCTATCTCCTATACATGTCTACACAATATCAGGACATTTCACCCTGTACCCCTAACTGGCTCAGGGTGACTTACACATAAGTGGGATATGGGAAGCTGAGACAGGGGTCTCCCCACCCCTCCAAAGTGAGCTGGGTTCCATGGGCCCCCTCCACCCAAAGTCACTCCCATCACAATGATCACCATGTATAATACATAAGGGGGGGGGTATGATCACCATGTATAATACATAAGGGGGGGGATATGATCACCATGTATAATACATAAGGGGGGGGATATGATCACCATGTATAATACATAAGGGGGAGGATATGATCTCCATGTATAATACATAAGGGGGGGGATATGATCTCCATGTATAATACATAAGGGGGGGGGGGATATGATCTCCATGTATAATACATAAGGGGGGATATGATCTCCATGTATAATACATAAGGGGGGGGATATGATCACCATGTATAATACATAAGGGGGAGGATATGATCTCCATGTATAATACATAAGGGGGGGGGATATGATCTCCATGTATAATACATAAGGGGGGGGGGATATGATCTCCATGTATAATACATAAGGGGGGATATGATCTCCATGTATAATACATAAGGGGGGATATGATCTCCATGTATAATACATAAGGGGGGGGATATGATCACCATGTATAATACATAAGGGGAGGATATGATCTCCATGTATAATACATAAGGGGGGGGATATGATCTCCATGTATAATACATAAGGGGGGGGGGATATGATCTCCATGTATAATACATAAGGGGGGATATGATCTCCATGTATAATACATAAGGGGGGATATGATCTCCATGTATAATACATAAGGGGGGGGATATGATCTCCATGTATAATACATAAGGGGGATATGATCTCCATGTATAATACATAAGGGGGATATGATCTCCATGTATAATACATAAGGGGGGATATGATCACCATGTATAATACATAAGGGGGGATATGATCACCATGTATAATACATAAGGGGGGGATATGATCTCCATGTATAATACATAAGGGGGGGATATGATCTCCATGTATAATACATAAGGGGGGGATATGATCTCCATGTATAATACATAAGGGGGGATATGATCTCCATGTATAATACATAAGGGGGGGATATGATCACCATGTATAATACATAAGGGGGGGGATATGATCACCATGTATAATACATAAGGGGGGATATGATCTCCATGTATAATACATAAGGGGGGATATGATCTCCATGTATAATACATTAGGGGGGATATGATCTCCATGTATAATAGATAAGGGGGGATATGATCACCATGTATAATACATAAGGGGGATATGATCACCATGTATAATACATAAGGGGGGATATGATCACCATGTATAATAATAACATAAGGGGGGATATGATCTCCATGTATAATACATAAGGGGGGGATATGATCTCCATGTATAACACATAAGGGGGGATATGATCTCCATGTATAATACATAAGGGGGGATATGATCTCCATGTATAACACATAAGGGGGGATATGATCTCCATGTATAATACATAAGGGGGGATATGATCTCCATGTATAATACATAAGGGGGGATATGATCTCCATGTATAATACATAAGGGGGGATATGATCTCCATGTATAAATACATAAGGGGGATATGATCTCCATGTATAAATACATAAGGGGGGATATGATCTCCATGTATAATACATAAGGATAAGGGGGGATATGATCTCCATGTATAATACATAAGGGGGGATATGATCTCCATGTATAATACATAAGGGGGGATATGATCACCATGTATAAATACATCAGTGGTCCATATAGTGAACTCCGTGTAGAGCTATTCATCCTGAGGACATCAGAGGACAAGAGGGCGCTCTTTACGTCTGGAGGAAAATAAATTTAATCTCCAAACATGGAAAGGTTTCTTCACAGTAAGAGCTGTGAAAATGTGGAATAGACTCCCTCAAGAGTTGGTTCTGGATTTTTTCTTAGATACACAGAATATAACTGGATATAACATTTATAGGTAAAGTTGATCCAGGGAATAACCGATTGCCTCTCGGGGGATCAGCATTTTTTTTTCCCAGCAGGAGCAAATTGGATCGTGCTTTGCTGTTTTTCTTTGCCTTCCTCTGGATCAACTGTGAGTATAGGATTATAGGATTATAACTTTCCTTCTAATTAGAGATGAGCGAATCGAAGTAGGCGAAGTGGAATTCGTTTCGAATATTAGGAAAATTTCCTAAAATGGCGGCGACATGTGCGGCGACGGAGCGGGGATGTCTGGGAAGGCGCGCAGACAAGGCGCGCTGACCCATAATGCATTCATTCATGACATGTGATCGCATTAGCCAATCAGCAGCCAGCCAGCCAGCACAGTGTAATGGTTGAGCTATAAATGGCGGCCATTTTAGAATTCTCCATTTGCCTCCAGTCATTCAACAGAGGCAGACCTGGCTGTATTCAGGGAGAGAGTTAGGGACAGAGAAACGTTACTTAGAGACACAGAAACGTAAGTTAGGGCCACAGAATCATTACTTAGGGCCATAGAAACGTTAGTTAGGGCCACAGAAACGTTACTTAGGGCCACAGAATCGTTAGTTAGGGCCACAGAAACGTTACTGAGGGACACAGAATTGTTACTCAGGGACAGACAGAATTGTTACTGAGGGATACAGAATTGTTACTGAGGGCCACAGAATCGTTACTTAGGGCCACAGAATCGTTACTTAGGGCCACAGAATCGTTACTTAGGGCCACAGAATCGTTACTTAGGGCCACAGAATCGTTACTTAGGGCCACAGAATCGTTACTTAGGGCCACAGAATCGTTACTTAGGGCCACAGAATCGTTACTTAGGGCCACAGAATTGTTACTGAGGGCCACAGAATTGTTACTGAGGGCCACAGAATTGTTACTGAGGGCCACAGAATTGTTACTGAGGGCCACAGAATTGTTACTTAGGGACAGACACAGAATTGTTACTGAGGGCCACAGAATTGTTACTGAGGGCCACAGAATTGTTACTGAGGGCCACAGAATTGTTACTGAGGGCCACAGAATTGTTACTGAGGGCCACAGAATCGTTACTTAGGGCCACAGAATCGTTACTTAGGGCCACAGAATCGTTACTTAGGGCCACAGAATCGTTACTTAGGGCCACAGAATCGTTACTTAGGGCCACAAAATCGTTACTTAGGGCCACAGAATCGTTACTTAGGGCCACAGAATCGTTACTTAGGGCCACAGAATCGTTACTTAGGGCCACAGAATTGTTACTTAGGGACAGACACAGAATTGTTACTGAGGGACACAGATCTGTTACTGAGGGCCACAGAATCGTTACTTAGGGCCACAGAATCGATACTTAGGGACAGACACAGAACTGTTACTGAGGGACAGACACAGAACTGTTACTGAGGGACAGACACAGAATTGTTACTGAGGGACAGACACAGAATTGTTACTGAGGGACAGACACAGAATTGTTACTGAGGGACAGACACAGAATTGTTACTGAGGGACAGACACAGAATTGTTACTGAGGGACAGACACAGAATTGTTACTGAGGGACAGACACAGAATTGTTACTGAGGGACAGACACAGAATTGTTACTGAGGGACAGACACAGAATTGTTACTGAGGGACAGACACAGAATTGTTAC